CTCAGCCACATCCGCCTGGTCACCTGTCATCTCCCAGGTGTCTCTCAAATCCTTCCACACCTCTGCTTCCCTATCGCCTTCATCTAAGCCCTATAACCTGACTCCTGAACTATGATCATTTCTTAACTCCTCTCCCACTGACTCATAGCCAGGATTAGGGCATCTCACTCCAGTCACCCAGATCATTGCCAAGCAAGTTTTTCCCTGTCTGAAGAGATCCCATCTGTCTGGTCACCCCTGTATTAACATGTAGCACAACTAGGCAAGCAGCAAATGACCACATGAACGAATACTGCATGGATGAGGCAGCTGGTACTCTCCGAAATAAATTCTGCCTCTGGCCATAAATTCAAATTAATGTTTGTCTAAACATTTGACACAGAAGAAGTAAAGACCCAGGAACCTGAATTTCATAACCAAAGGCAAGCCAGACCATCTTTCTGTACACTCACCTGTATACCTGTATCTACAGCTGTGGATCCTTCACTCACGCTGCCTGACATGATGGGGCTGGTCTATGACAAACGTACAGAATTTGTGGGTGACAACTGTTTCTTCTAGAAAACAAAGATTACTAAAAATGCAAGGCATAGCTCTTCTGGGTACTTTCAAGACAGAATGGAAAAACACATCATAATCTTCAAGTCCTCTGTGGCCTGGGAAGGTGGGAGGGTGACCTTTAGGAGACAAGTCTCTCTGCCAACTTTCAGATCAAACCCCAGCATTCCGAAACAAGGCCACCTTCCCCTGCCACCCACTGGGAAAATCCGGATGAGCCCACAGTCACGCAGGGAGAGAGGCAATTCCACAATTATGTAACCAGAGATATGCACTTGTGTCCATTTGCTTGTGAAACTTTAAAAAGTTGCAGTAGGAGTGAGTGATAATGTCATCCTTCCCCTTGATCTGGCTGTCTATCTCTCAAGAAAAACGTGTTAACCCCATGTGGTAAGCAAATAGCTGTGATGTTCAATAAGGCCATTCCAAGCAGACCTCTCCCACAGCACCAACACGTAACAGTGACACCCTGAAAACTGTCCCGGGGAGTGCGGGGGAAGGTCACGGGAACCACACTGGCCCCTGCACTTCAATCCGTATAGCTGTGGGGCCTAGGACATGTCTCTTCCTGTCTCTGCTCCTCAGTTTTCTCACATCGAAATGGAGGTGACACTAGTCCTGCTTGATAAGATTGTGTTGATGATGAAGGGTTAGTCATTCTGCCCAGCCGGTATGGCTCAGTGGTTGAGCGTCAACCCATGCACCAAGAGGTTGCTGGTTCAATTCCTGATCAGGGCACCTGCCCAGGTTGTGGGCCAAATCTCCAGTGGGCGGCACGCAGGAGGCAGCCAATTGCTGTTCTCTCTCATCAATGTTCCTATCTCTCTCTCCCTCTCCCTTCTCTCTCTCTAAAATCAATTTTAAAAGAATTTTTTTTTAAAGCTAATCATTCTTAGCACAATCTGAGTGCCCAGCCAATGTCAGCGACAGTAATGGAAATCATAATGATATTACAATAATGAATATAGCCCTTGCATTAATCATTTTTCCTTCCATCCATCTCCACGGGGGAGTCCATGCCCTCAAAGTTCTATCAAATACTAAGAACGGTTCCCCAACTCTAGTGCCAGAACCCTGTGGGAGGCTTCTTAGAACTCAGACTGCTGTGTTGCAGACACAGAGCTTCTGATCTGAGGGGCTGGGCTGAGGCTGAGAAGATACAGTTCTAACAAGTTCGCCTCAGACGCGTGGGTGCTGCTGGTTGGAAGGACGTGTTGAGAAACACTCGGGGCCTTGCTGCATCCGTGGAGAGGAAGTCCCAACGTCCAGGGCTTTCTGTGGGGCTCCACCCACCCAGAGGCCCTTCCTGGACAAATCCATCTTAGTGACCCCACCGACAATTCCAAACTCAGCTCCAGCATCAGGAGCGCTCCGGGCCTGCGTGCCGGCATCTGCCGCGCTGGACTTTGCTCAATGCAGCCCGTTCCATGGCAACCAGGACTTGCCTTACTCAGTGCCCAGGACACAGAGAATTCCTAAGAGAGCTGAGAGAGCCAACACCATCCCTGGAGAGCCAACCAAACTGGAGATCAGCTCAGGGGCCTTCATCTCAGAACTGCTCACTGGACATGAAGCGCCCCAGTCCCCCATGAGCCCAGGATCCCTCCCACCCCAGCTAGAAGTCTCCTCTATGTTCACTGCACCATGAGTCCTTTGCCTTCAACCAACAACTGTTCTTTGCACTCCTGGGAGGTAATGGAGCTCGGTTCCTGGCTTCTCGCTGGCGTAGGCCCTACCAGGTGGGCCAGCTGTGGGCTGATGCTGAGTGTTCTCGGGGAGAGGGGAAGCCAGACTGCAATCAGGAAGCATTTCTTTGTAAGCATTTCTGGTCCGTGGCCCAAAAAGATCTCGGCAGACACAGAACGGTCACGCAAGTTGTTGCCATTTCTTTTTCTCATTCTGAATAAGTATGCGCCTTCATCCCAAATTCTGTATTATTTTTCTTAAAGAGGATTCCAATGTGTTTACCTTTTTTTAAAAAATTGTTCCATTGCAGTTTACATGCGATGTTATTTTGTACTCATTTCGGGTGTTTACCTTTTAGGTCTTACAAAATCTGGGTCACCCCGGTTGCACATTCTTGTTCCCTGGCCATTTGGCTTTCTGGGGTTTTCTTTAATTCATCACCCACCGGCCCTCCGATTACAGCATTGTAAGCAAGCCAACCACACCTTTCTAAACACCTTCCAGACAGGATTTCAAACGCTTCTAAAGAGGAGTTCAAGGTGTGTTATCCATGTCACTATGAAGAGCGAGATCCAGACAGAATATCCTGTCTGATCCTCCCAAAATAGGCATAAAGGCTCTCTTTAACGAAAAACATCCCTCAACTCCTGATGCTAATTTAAATACAAAACCCCTCAATTTTTGTGCGTAATCACCACTGATTACAAGGATAGCAAGTTTTGTCTGTGTCAGGAAATATTCATTAAAATTCTAAGCACTATTTTCATTCCCGTCCCACACAGTATAATAATTTTAATTGGAAGATCTCTTTGGTGGTTTATACACAAAAGAAATCGTCAGTGGAGAAGCTGTAGTCTCTTTACTCTAAGGCTAAATTGAGAGTTTTAGGATTTCTTTCCAAATAAGTTGTAGCATCCTACATCTCCAGAGGTATATTTAAGGAGAAATAGATACATCTTTTAAAAATAAATGTTAGCCATATTTTTTCACATATGATTATAGATGTATTCACAAAGACAAAGTCCCTTCTAGGTGACAACATGGTCCTCTAGTCACCTGCAAGCTACGGAAAGAAATCAGGCTGAATTGTGTAAAATCAAGCTGGTTTCTATAAACTATATAAATTATTTAAAGCACATGAATAATATGAAAATTAGCTGCTATCTCAATGTGTGATACACAGGAATACATATCCAGTTTTACTAATTGGTCCCACTTGCATACGTAAGGCCCTTAAAAATAGGTTAACGAAGACACATTTTATATTTTATATTTAAAAAATAGCTGCTCATCTTCCTGTCCGCGAGTGGTCATAGTTGAAGACACACGTAGAAGGAAAAGAGGGCTTATTCTACTCATGACACTTACTTTCACTTCCCAGGGTGTGGACTGTTTATGAATGTAAATTTAAATTCTTATTTCCATGAAATCTTCTGGATTTGCAATCGCTCCCAGTGGCCCAGAACGGTGCAGAAGCATGTATCCTACAGTCAGAAGTACCCACGCTGAACTCCCAGGTCTAGGTCCACCAGTCAGCACTATGAACAAAGTGCCAGATTCTTTTCTGCCTCAGTTTCCCACTTGTACAGGGAGAGTCACAGCTACTTTGCATATTCTATGCAAGGAGTTAAAGCGCCTAGCCTGGGCCCTTGGCAAAGAGTTGATTCTTAACCCTATTTTAAAGATGGTTTTGATAACCCCTGTCACTTTGGTTGGCAGACCAAGCTAATGACCTTCTTCTTAGAATTACACTCTCTGCCTTTAAATGGTTTTACCTGAGATTAAAGAGGTGATGCAAAAGCACAATGAGCCATTGGTCTCTCTCCAAACCTCCACCTGTGCAGAAAGAGGGCCCTAGAACTCCTGGTGTCAACCTGTGCAACCAAACCTGCGCACACCTGTGCACACCAGCCTGGCTCACGCAGAGGCCCCCTCTTAGCGGGTGCACAGCAAATATTTGTTCAGTTGCAAGTCTGCTGACCCCAGTGAAAACTGCGAATGGAAATCATAACATGGCCCTGTTGTGCCTCAGTCTCACTGAGGCCGGATTTCTAAGGTCCCGAGGTGCCCCAGGAAGCTGCGTGGCAACTGTGACTGCCCATTGCAAAGGTCACTGCCAGAGAACCCGAGGGGAGCATCTGGACGGGCGGGAACCCTGCGACAGGGCCCAGAAATGCACGCGTGCAGAGGTTCTGACCCAGGTTAGAAATACAACCACTTTTTAAAGCCGGTGGCGCGCTATTTGCTTAACAAATGGATACTGCGCTCAGGAACTAACTGCGGAAACAATTTGCTTTCAACTTCACCACCATCACCTTTTTTTTCTCTCTTAACGTGACGGGACACTGGAAGCCACACAGTGGTAAGGCTGTCTGCTCCAGGGGCGCCGAGCCAAGGTCTGCGTAGGAGCCCAAAGTGGAATCTGTGGGTCCCCACGAAGGGGCCGCATGGGATCCCACCCAAGTGAGGGGCTGACTTCTGCAGAGTCCTGGAGGCGGCGGTCACCATCTCCACTGCGCCCTGAGGAGCCTCCGTGAGTCTAGCAAATGCAAAGAAACCCGAGGCAGGTGTCCCCTCCCCGTGCGCCCCCAGCACCCCACACCTGAACCCTGAACCAGCAACTCCCGGGTAGTAGCTCGTCTGAATCCCCTCCCAGTCCCCAACTCCGCTTGAGAGCAGGAGCCCACCCGCAGGACCCAGCAGGTAGCAACCTGGGTGCCCTTGGCACAGCCAGGTGAGCCTGACCCCGCCCTCACCTGTCCGAGGCTGGTCTGGGCTGCACTGGGGGCCCAGCGCGCCCCTCACGTGCGGGGACCTGCGCTGCTGTCTCCACGGCTCAGGGACGCAGGGAGCAGCTCGGCCGCTGCGGGGGCGGGGGCATCGCCCGGGCCGCCCCACTTCCTCGGCCCCACACGGGAGCCCCGCCTTCCGGGGGGTGGGGGGAGGCGGCGTCACCTTGGAGCCGCCACTACCCGAGGGCGGGCGGGCGCGGCGGCGGCGGCAACTCGGGCTGATGCAAGAAGGCGCGGCCGCTGGGTCTGGGCGCTTCACTGGGCGAAGAGGAAGAAATTACTGCGGCTCATTAGCCTGGTTGGCTCGTGGGCAAAGGAAGAGGTGTCGGAAGGTACAGCAGTGACTGTGGGAGCAGAGATCACTTGCGTTTTAGCTCAAAGGCAGGCAAGGGGGTAAGTGTGGCTTGCAAACTTTCAGCTGCTTGGAAGCTGCCTTCAGTGATCCCCAAGTAAGTGCACCTTTGCTGCCAGAGGTCCGAGGGATCAGTGGGGACCCTCCCATTTTTACCCCCCACCACCACCACCTGGCACGAGGTGAGCCACGGAAGCAGTGCTGCGCGTGGACGTGGCACATCCGTGGTCACACCTGATGTTCAGATCCTAGTGAGGCAGTTCCTAATATCCCTGGTTTAAGATGAGGAAAAGCAGCCTCAGAAGCACCAGATGACCTGAATCAAGTTAGTAGCAGAGTCAAGGCAACCGGAGGCCTGTAGCAGAGGCAGGCTCTTCCCCTGCGCTTTGGAAGAGGCTCCGCGCCCCCTACTTCAAAGCCCTGGGAACCCCGGAAAAGAACGTATACAGGAAAGACCAGAAAGAGCCAGGAGGAGAAACAGCAACCACACCTTTAAAGCTGACTAACAACTGAATTAAAATAGTAAGGGAGCCCACAACACAAGCTTTTTCCTTCTGACTCCTGCCGAGGTGGAGTTCCTGTTCTGTGGTTCCTGTAGCCCGACCGCAAGTCAAAATTCACTAACAGCATTTTTTGATCATTAAATGCTATAGAAAGCGAAGCGTCTATAGCTACAGAATCCTAAGGTCATCCCTCCTTCCCCTCATCACCATACACGCCTCTGTCTACCTTCATTGAGGGGCTTTTTAAAACTGTCCAAACCATGTTACCTGCCTCTTTCTAGTATGTTTTAGCCAAGGAAGAGCGGAATGATGCTGTTGTTTTAACTACTTCACCTCCCCTACAAAACCACAAGCGGCACTTAGATGATCAGTTGCGCTCGTGTGGCTGATAAAGGTTCACTACACTGCGGTTGGGTTGGATTTCTGAATTTAAACAGGTTTTGAACCGGGTCTTATAGGATAGGCACGGTCAATGATGTCATGATTGTTATGTTTAAAAAGATAAAATCTGCATTTTTCGTCTCGGTCTTGCCTTCTGAATGTCCATAAGCAGCAAGGTGTTTGGCCCCTGAAAACCAGCTCCATTGTCAACATGATGATGGAAGCGGAGGGTTGTCCCTCCCCACACCAATGTCAGCGCCCGGCCAGATACGACGGCTTTTTTGTGTCACACAACACGTGCGTGGGTGCGTGGCCATCTCGTAATGCCACCCGTGTTTTCAGATTTGCAGTGGCAGACTTGCCAGCTGTGGGCCCGATGTGCCCTTTGCCGTCACAGCTGACGCAGCTGTCACAACTTCAGACACTGCAGCGGAGGCGTGTTAGAAATGTCACTGTGCCTGTTTGAATGAGCCCCCGCAATTTAAATAGGACGCATCGCCATGGCTGCATTCATCTAGCACCTCTGCCCGTGCGTGACAGGGGTTCTCTACAAGACAGAAGAACCTGTTGCAAATGCACAAGTGCAGGACCTCCAGCTCCCCTCATTTTTCTGTGCAATAAGATATACATTCATCAGCACCTTGATTCGCATAACTAACTAGGGTCACAAGGGAGCGGTGCCGGGCTCCTGTGTCATCCGCCAGAGCTGGACATGACTCAGTCCAGACCAGAACTAAGTTGGGTCTCGTGAGTGTAAGTGTCCTAAATGCCCCACAGAGAGGTTTCTGAGAGTTGCAAACAGTGACCTAAGGCGTTGGCATCGAGCAGCCTTCACGTTTTCCTTCTTGGGTGCTCTTGTCATTTCTGGCCCAATAAAAGCTGGAGTAGAAAGACAGCTGGTCTAGACTTACCAGGGCGGGAAGCCAGTGTTATGGTTCAGGCACAATGTGGACCACTGTCCAAATGGCAGATGCTTCGTGTTACAAGGAAGCACATGTACTTTGCCCACAGCGTTGAGGGGATGGCGTACATTTCATTGTGAGTGTGGCGGGCTTCTGTTATGACATCACTCACATTTTTTCCTTTCCTATAATTGTCATGGCAGGTATGGGAAGCACAGTCCCCTTTTATTGTGGCAGGTGCGGAGAGACCAAACTTAGTGACTCAGTGCGAACCACACTCTGCCACTTAACTAGCTGTGGGTTTTCCTGCAAAGTGGTTGGTAGAGTTTCAGCTTCTTAAACAGAGGAGTTGCCCTAACAGAAAAGGTGTCTTACTTTCTAATTACTCAGGAAGCTCTGTTTTAAAGCCTTTCTCTGGAAACCAACACCAGCCTTTAATTGTCTTGTTAATAATCCTATGTAGCAAATTCTTTCAAATGCCCAGACATATTTTGAACATAAGCTAATTAGCTGGGAATGTTCACAATTACTAAGTTACTCAGCATTACACTTTTATAGATATTAGAGCTTTTATGGGTAAGAATTCCATGGCCAGGACGAACATCTGGTAATAGTTGCTTTTAAAAAGTTAAAATTAATAGTGACATGGAGGGTAAATCTTAGAAGACTTAGTCCCCCCATTCACAAGGTGGGTAAAGCAAACCCAAATTTACTTTTTTAGCTAATCACCAATATGTTTGTCTGTGAAGAGTCCATCCATTTAGATAATTGCTTAAACCTTCCCCCAGATTAAACCAGGGCAAAGGAGTGTTTCCTACCACGCAATGCTGCCGTGGCCCCACGTGGCATTGTTCGTTGGATTGCACACTAGCGTGTCGCCATTGGCCATAGCGGGGAGCATCTCAGGATGTGCCTTGAGAAATGCGTTGTCGAATGTGCAGGGTCATGGTCGTGGTTCAGGGTTGTGGTTGGTCAGGGTCATGATTCTTAAAACGCTGGTGACTATTTTAAGTTTTCAGTCAGCTCAGAAATGCAGATCCAGGCTGTCCCACGACAGCTGATTGGTTGCGTCTTCTGGTTCTACCAAGAACACAACTGACTCTGTCTCCATCTCTCATTTGACTACAGGGATGCTGAGTGGCCTACCTCTGTCCAATATTCAGAAGAGCTTTTTTTGCACATTGTATAACTGAGCTGTCTTTTTCTACCTCGTTTTCTTAAGTCTGAGATGAAACTGAAGGAATTTGCAAGACCAGAATATTAGGATAATGATCATTTTTCTGTGCAATAAGATAGACATTCATCAGCACCTTGATTCGCACAACTAACTAGGGTCACAAAGCTGGGGTAATTACTGGGGCCAGGCTAGTGGAATAAATGTGTAAATGAGACCACAGACACGAAAATAGAGATGGTCACAAACTGCCCACCTATAGGCGTTCATTTCAGTTATTGTTAACTCTGTGTTGGCCAAATAATGCAGGTGGCTTGAAGCCAGGTGGCCATATGTGTGCCCTGATCAACAGTGTGTCCCCTGATCAACAATGTGTCCAGCTCTAAGGTAAACACTATGGAAATAAGAGAGTTCCTGCCCTCCAGGGGCTCACACTTTGGTGAAGGGAAAAGACATGGAAATAAACCAGAGCACGTGAGAGGGAGGAGGATCTGACAGCAGCACCCGCCAGGCCCCCAGGGGAGCACAAGTCAGGTACAGGAGACCAGGTAGAAAACATGCAAGGGAACTGGCGGGGACACTGACTCCATGTAGCCCCAAGTTGAGGAAGGAGACCCCGGGGTGAAACCTTGCCCACATCCGCTGGGATGAATATACAGGCAACCAGCCACAGAAGATCAATTGGAAGTTCCAAGCCAGACCTATTTAGTGGTATTTCCATAAACTGTTTGCTCAAGTAATCGAAAAATTAAAATACAGACGCAGAGGGAGCAATAAGAAGAACATTCTGGGCTGAAGACATTAACTAATTTTGGACTATCGAGACTGCCCGGGACACATAATTCAAATGTTTCCTTCACCCAACCTCCCTTTACTGGCTGTAATAACAACCTCCAAGGAAAGTACAGAATCTCTAATTAATGGATTGAAAAGTGGTCAGGAAACACATGGGGCTTTATTAAGTGTATGATAATAATATTTTCAAGCTGGCTTGGTGTACAATTACCTGTTTGACAGACTTTATTTAGGTACATCTTTTAATGACTGCTGTTAACACTTCCCAGGAAAATGTGGAGCCAACATAAGAATAAAATACTAGTAAGGAACGTGGCTTTAAAACGAAATGAGCCACCCTGGCTGGTTTGGCTCAGCGGTTAGAGTGTCGGCCTGCGGACCAAGGAGTCCTGGGTCCGATTCCGGGCTCGGTTCATCCCCAGCCCCGGTTGGGGTCGTGCGGGTGGCAACCAATTGCTGTGTCCCTCTCACATTGATGTTTCTCTCTCTCTTCCTTCCTCCCTCCCTCCTGCTCTAACTGAAGATAAATAGAAAAATATCCTCAGGTGAGGATTAAAAAAATAAAAACTAAATAAGCCGAGCTTGTGTGTCTCAGTGGATGGAGCGTCCTCCCATGGACTGAGAGGTCCTGATTCAATTCCCGGTCAGGGCACATGCCTGGGTTTTGGGCTAATTCCCCAGTGGGGGGCGTGCAGTAGGCAGTCAATCCATGCATCTCTATCACATCAATGTTTCTATCTCTGTCTCCCTTCCTCTCTCTCTAAAAAAAAAAAAAAATCAATTAAAAAAAAAAAAAAAAACTAAATGAATCTCTTAATTTCCAGTACACAAGTACTCAATTTTTTCTTTTTTTCTTATTGGGAAATACCTAACTATACTGAAAATTATACATTCTATAAAGGACTTACTCTTTTAAAAAAATAACTTTCTTTGCTTCATTTGAATTTCCTATTAGGCTGGTT